CTTTGTACGGTGTACTATCACAATTCAGCATAACACATATCGATGGCACGAACGACGTCCGTAGGAAAACTCTGCGCAACCATGTAGTGTTCCCTATATTTGGAGCTCCACGTCAATGACATGGCAGTGCCGTAGCATACGAGTGCTGTTGTCAAGGATACATGGAGAGGGCCACAACTTGCCTGAGTGAATAGCAGCAAAAGTGATGCTCGTCACAGCGCTTGTCACTCCAATGGAATGAATGCAACTTGGGAAAGTTGCCCGACGCTGTCAGTGACTTCATTGCACGACCTGGGTTCGAACTCGGGACCTGCTGCTCCTCGAGCTCAAACCACTGAGCTAATTTAGCTTCACGTCAACTTAGTTGCCGATTTGGGTATTAATTATAAAATATGGTGCTACACGATTCTTCGTCAACTGCACTTATCACTAAAACAACACGGCCAAAATAGAAACCAATGCTACCATTGATCTCAAAGGATTGAACCATTTGGCAATTTTTACAAGTTATGACCGATATCTCGAAATTCGATTGCATACACATGTACAGTGGCTACCAAAAGTCAAAATACACTCGAGATAAATCGCGTTTTTTCAATTGCGTCTGAAGTAGAATACCCTCTGTTATGGTTGTTTGAACCTCAAATTTGCACTGTTCGAGCCAATAACGTGATGCTAATGATTGTCCTCGTTTGTGTATTGGCCAAAATAAATGGCTTGATTTCGCTACAAGATATTTCCTGTGAACTTTCCCTGTGGAAAATCAATCTTATCCCACGGGGAAATTTAGTGCCAAAAATTTCCTGTGAGGCCAACCTCACAGAGTAAAGAAATCTACACACGACAGCCAATAGAATACATTCAATTTGTTGACCAGCCATCCTATGAATGAGGTCGATGGAGGCAAGCGAAAGACTGCGTACCGCTTTACCACTCAAGTAGACATAAACCTCCTTAAGGAGGTCATGGCTGTATGCCCACATGATGCTCCTTATGGACAAACCCTTGCACGATGGGAAGAAGTTGTAGAGCACATGCGCGAAATGCACGGCCTCGACCTCACTACTGCAGGTTGGCGTAAGCGCCTGGATGATTTGATGGCAGCATTCAAGAAGGACACAGTGAAGACCTTGCACTGAGGAAGAATACAATTAAGAGAACAGCTCATCCAAGACCTGTCGGATATAGTTGCTCCATGTGAATGTATCATGACTGAGTCAAGGTTGTAGATGGACACAACGTAGAAGACAAATAAGGCACTTAAGGAAGAGAAGAACAAGAAGATCGACAAACGCGAAAAAGAGGGTCTCTCAACAGGGACGAAAGTCGGTCATAGTGATCCGATAATTCTTAGTGGAATGATTATCGCTCAACGGATAAAAGGTACTCCGGGGATAACAGGCTAATGACTCCTAAGAGCTCCTATCGACGGAGTCGTTTGGCACCTAGATGTCGACTCATCACATCCTGGAGCTGAAGAATCATGCTGCGTGAAGCCGCCCAAATGACAATGAAGCGTAAGTCAGATGCGCTTGAAGAGGAGGAGGAGGTATCGCCCTCGAAGGTCAAGGAACCAAGACCATCGTCTGCTCTTAAGGATGCTGCGTCTGCAGTTGTCGACATTATGTCGATGATTGATGCCTCAAATGAATTCAAGCGAACCGAGATCGACGCCAAACGGGAGTCAAACGCCCTTATGCAGCGTAAAGTGGAGTTGGGAGAACGGCGATATCTCCTGGACAAAGCAGAACGAGATGCTCGTTTTGCACTGGAGCAACAAGAGCGCCAATCACAACTTCAGTATATACAGAGCACTATTGACTTGCTTCGTAGCTTGGCCAAAAAGCTGTCCGAGAATTAACAACACGATATCTTTTTATGTTTTATTCTTGGCGCTTTGCAAATAATCTTGAACTGACGGCGGGGCAACGTTATAGTACATAGAAATCTGGTTGTGTGAATATTCGTGAGAAGTACGGGGACAGCGTACTGCACACCAACCGCTTGCAATCACAGTTTTTGATTCCCTTGTAGTCGATAAATGTCCACAAGTTTCGAACAATGCCGAAACCCCACTCCACACTCACACGCACAGCACTCATCTGACGATTGAATTGAGCTTGGTCCTCCGAGAGCAAAGCCCCTTTATACCCTGAGATAATTACATCTTTGATCCCGTAAGCTGGATCTCCGTAAATAACATACTGGGATTCGTTGTGGCAAAGTTTATCCCGCAACTCTTACACCAAATTGCTTTTGGCCAAGAGATATGCATCATGTCGCGATCCAAACCGGCAGGAAGGGATGCTTTTGGCACGAGTTGACTGGGCTAGGTGCACAAAAAGAGCAGCCGCTAGTGGCAACAGGAGGGCTACCTCGTCACTCATTCTCAACTCAGTGACAACCAAATTTCCCTGTGACGAAATCAACACGCCACAAAAATATTCCTGAGAGACATTTTGTAAATTCTTGCAGGGAAAATCGTGTGGATTCCACATGCGAAATCACTCTAACATCCGGAATTACGAAAAACCTATAAACCAAAGTCACCATACACTTGAGGTATTTTGAGTTTATCTGGGCTCTTAGTACTTCGTTGGCCCTCCAGTTTCAATGACCATGCCAAGACGTTTAGGCATGGAATCAATGAGACCCCAGATGTAGGAAGTAGGATAATTGTCCCAAATCTTGACTATTTGCTCCTTCAAGCCTTCAATCGACGATGGCGGGTTTTGCGCACTTGGCGTTTGATGTACACTCACACATGTTCAATGGGATTGAGGTCGGGGCTTTGGGGGGTGAGGAAGCAAGTTGAAAGCGTTCAAGTAAAAAAACGCCTTCACACTCTTCGTAGTATGAATTGGCGCATTGTCCTGCATGAACTCAAAGTCGATCGGGAGCCCAAGTTTAACAAAATTCTCGGCCAAATTGGCCTCGACGATGTCAAGGTAGTCTTTCGACTTCATCTTGTCGTCGCAAAACACCCGAGTACCAACGCCATTGTACCCAATGGCCCCCCAGACCATAACGGTTTGACGCCCACTCTTGAATGTTTGCAAGAGGCACTTTTCATCGAACTCTTCCCCAGGACGTCTCCACACAAAAATGCGACCGTTTGATCCCGCCAGATTGAAAGGACTCTCATACGTCCAATGAAATTTCTTCCAGGCGTCCATCGACCTTCCTTGAAG